TGAAACCATACATAAAAGGTTATTATTTCGACTGAGAAGTTTTTCGAAACCATGTGAGAAAGTAGACATTTGTTGTGGTATTTATCTTAAGAATGTCATGCGATATCATACGCCATAAATTAATCAATCAATTGGAAATTATATAAACATCTTATAATGGCTGGAGACGGCTTGAATGGGTAATGAAGAAAAACTTTAATATAAGTTTAACATAACAGCAAATGTACAACGTTTCGACAAGGTTTTGTCATCATCAAGCCGTCTCCAGCCATTATTACTCTCAAAGTGGGTTCCTCGTCATCGAATTTGAAAATATAAACGTGTTGTTTGAAGTTCATCGAAATTGTTCGCCATTTTAATTTCCTTTTTTCTTACAATGTTTAGCTACAAAGAAGGTTAGAATATTAATAGATATGGCGACAACAGAATACCCAGTAATCGTACGTCACCCGTATATAAATTAAAACCTAACACGTACATATTCTTGATTAAAAACTATGAAACTAGCTTAAATAGATCACGTTGAAAAAAAGAACCAATCAGAACGCATACATACGGATGCGGAACTTGCTTTGATTAATAAATAAGCCCCCCAATGGCACAGCGGTATATCTGCGGACTTACAACGTTAGAATCCGTGTTTCGATACCCGTGGTGGGCAGAGCACAGATAGCCCATTATGTAGCTTTGTGCGTAATTACAAACAAACAAACAAATTAATAAATAATTACAACGTTATCCAGTGTATTTGTTTGTGTTTTTTTTTGTTTACATTGTATTATTAGATAACACAATAATTTCAGAGTTTTATACACTAGCTAAGGTTGATATAATATCTTTAGGGCAAGAATAACTTACCTGTAAATGGATTGGCACTTTTTTAACTGGCGTAACAGTCTTCGACATGACGTCAAATATTCACGTGCTTGCTCAGGTATCAGAGACACTGGATGAAATGACTTAGAAGTTGGGTGCACTTTTTCCCGCGCTTTTACCAATGTAAAATTCCAGTTCCAGTACTAAACCGGTGAAGAAACAACTTTCGAAACCTTGAAGTGCCGATCGAAAGATGAAATTGTGTTTGTTTGTATGTTTTTTCACCCCAAATCTACTGTGCGCCGTAGGATTAAGTTTTATAATGAAATAAGATAATTCTTCCGTCAAAATATTAGAACTGTGAAGCTAGCTGTTCGGAATTTGACGCCCAGATGACGTCACTCGTAATATTATGGAAGGACGTTTTTTGCTTGCTTAAATTGACAAAAAAGTATTTTTCTATATCCCAGAACAGTAGCTAAAAGCTAAGAGAGAGTACTTAATTTCTATAGGAGAAGAACAGATTGCTAATATGGCAAAACCCAACAGACTACGCACGCGTTCAATGCCACTCCTGTTCTAGTGGTGCTTGCTTGGAGAAAATGGCCCTGCAGCGCCGCTGTCGCCCCGAACACTGTATACTCTATGCTATCCTCATGCAGACGATAAACGATCGATAGTACGTACTGCGGCTCTTAGAAAAAATTATATTTTGCAGGTCGAAATAAGAAGCGTATCGTACAGGACAAAAAAAATTGTGAGTATTTGAATTTACTCAATACACTGAATGTAATTCTACAGGAAAAGCATACCAGGCAACATCATAATAATAATTACGATGACTGATTTGACATCCGTGTTTTAGCTAACCCTAAGCTTTCATAATGAATCAATGTGAAACTTTCCGTTAAGCCTTAGTTTAAATATTTAATTTATTTGTAGCAGTCATTAAAAAAAAGTTATTATAAAAGTAAATATTTAAAAAACACGTTTGTGGATTTTGTTTGGAATATTACTATAATGTTAAATGTTGTTCATAATAATAATAATAATAACAGTATTTGTAAGTTGAATATTCTAAATTATAGAGCTAATTATTAACATATATAGTTTTCTGCTCGTAAAATAATATATTTAATCTCGTCCTAAGTATTTTTTGTTGCTTATATGGTATATCACGATTACGTAATATTGTGCTCCAAGTGGCAGGTTTTTCGTAAAATAAGGCGTCCAAAACTTTTGCTAACAAAATTGTTTGCTTTGTATTTCAGGGGCTACTCGAGGGCTATCTGCGTTAACCGTTCCTAAGTTAGAAGTCATAAGTTCAAATTCGATGACGAGGATTCTTCATTACCCATTCAAGCCGTCTCCAACCATTATTAGAAATAACAAAGTAGATCATCTCTAGGACTATTCTTGTAGAACAGTGGCATTAACCGTCAATTTATAACGCCCCCACAACTGAAAGGGCGAGAGTGTTCTGTGTTGGGATTCGTACCCTTGATCAGCAAATTGCAAGTCGAGCGCCCTAACCACCAGGCCATGCCAGGATTCTTTAAATATCAATAAATCTGTTAATACAATTTCAAGACACTCTGTAAGCGGAATGTAGTAGAGTTAGCTGAAATTTCTGGAACTATGATACTGACCAACTTATCAAGTAAAATCAAAATATTAATAGCGTTATTAGATGTCAGAAGAATATCAAAACACTCAAACGTAAAAAGTACTGATTGGCTGGTTGCAAATGCTCTGACCAAATGTATTTGATTCAAGTTATGCACTTAAGTTTAATGATAAAAGACAACAACTTTAAATATTATAATATATTTGGAGATTAAAGCAGGATTCTACAGATTAGGAGGTAAGCAAAATTTTAAGTTATTTCGTCGATTTTTTATATATTTTTTGGAGAGTGCATTCAGAAGAGGTAGATAAACAACGCCATCTTGAGAATCCTGAACGAATGATTTAATTTTTGTTATGAAACGCATTTGCAAATTTTAACTTCAAAATATATGAAATAGATGTAAATGAAACTTTGACTGAAAATGTTTGCCAATTTTTTCATGGTATAGATAAATTTATAGATGAAAAATGTCTGATGATTGATTAGTTTTTGCGACAGGCCTCGACTTGTTTTTGTATTGTTCAGTACCGGCATAGCCTACATATTTACATCATATTGAATAATCCTATGTTTTACCTATTTACAACACTCAGTGTGAAAATCTGCCAAACGCGGATTTCTGTGTGAGACACACAGGGAACCTCAGCATTAATTGAAATATTAACTGTGTTTTTGTGTAATTGTTTTGTATAACTCGTATTAAGGGCTCTGTAATTAATGTAATTATTGATTCACAAATAATTTGGAAAAATGTGTTAAAAAATATAATGCGATCCAATTACTAATCCTACAGTTATGAACAATGGAATTCCAACTAATGTATTTCGTTATTAATAATTCTGAAAAGCCCTCCATTGGCGCAAGTCCCCGGTGGGACAGCGGTATGTCTACGGACTTACAACGCTAAAATTAGAAGTTCGATTTCCCGCGGTGGACACAGAAAATAGCCCAATATGCTTTGCTCTAAATACAAACAGTCAGTGGCATAGCGGCAAGTCTTTGGATTTGTAACGCTTAAAACCGAGTTTCGATACCCGTAGTGGGCAAAGCACAGATAGCACATTGTGTAACTTTGTGAAATATCGATATAGTGTCCCTGACGAAGCGTGTCGATAATAGGCTTGTATTCACAGTTTGAAAAGCAAATAAATTGAAGAATCTTCACAATTCAACCTTGTTTCTGGTTGCCCAGTTGACGGTTGACAGATACTTGAATTGTTGATCGGCGCGTTCTCACTTGAAGTGCGAGCTGAAGGCTTTCCATCATGGCTAGAGCTCAGGAAGAACAAACAGTCTCCACGAGATAAGGGACATCATTCTATTCAAACAACATCAACTGAAATCTTGTTTCGAAGGTTCTTCAATAACTAGGTTTTTACGTGTTATCAACATGAAAAAAGTTTATAATGTTCTATTTATACAACCAACTTTCAAACTGAGGTAATATAGTTGGAAAGTCAACAGCTAGTCAATGTATATATATATTTTTTAATGTTTTATTCGTACGAGGGCGGGGGGGGGCAGCTTCTTCCCTACGTCGTAGAGGGCGTGAGGTGGGTTCGGACAAAAAGACCCCCCCCCCACCGTCGGCGACCAGCGGAGTGTCTGCGGACTTACAACGCTAGAATACCG